CCCCATTCACCGACCACGCTTCTATGGTAAACAATGCAAACATAAGGAATGCATCTAAATACACCTAAATGCATGTGTTAAGGGTTTTAATTATATGTAAATGGTTAGTTATTTCCTTCTTTGGGTAAAGTGTATTGCCATATAACTCCCTACATTAATGGTCCTTAGCAATCTGTAAGAATAGTCGAAAACGTATTATTACGTCCACAGCAGTGAGGGCACAGAAAATGGATAAGCAGTATCACATCTTTAGCAGTCTAAGAAGCAAACGTACAATTACGTCTATAGCAGCGAAAGGGTTAAATATCTAGGATCAATATTCACACTAAAAAGGAGTGTGGATGGAGATATCAACTCACAATGTGCTACAACACACCAGGTCCTGGGACAACTAACATCATTTTTGTCACATAGAAGTATACCTTTGTCTACCCAGGCAAATCTACTAAGAACCATTTTGTGGCCAACTTTATGCTACCAGAGTAGACTCTGGTCCCTTACCAAAAATAATGAACACAAAACCATAACAGTAATGAGATGTCTTAGAAGACCTGCTTGTGTAACCAAAAGAAATGAAAATAAAAATAAAGAAATCAGAAGAAGACCAAACCTGAAAACAGTGATACAGTTGATTAAAGGGCAAGAGATAAGTGGTTGTTTGACCATCTGACGAGAATGCCCTGGTACCAACTGCCACAGTGAAGAAATATAGTGGACACTGAGCAAGGGGGAAGGCTATGCAGAAGATGGGATGATGACATCAACAACAGTTTTAAGGGAATGAAGACCAATTTATACAACATGTTAAAAAGGGCACATAGACAAGGCTTACACTCCACACTCCCCTCCCCCCTATGTTTCAATGAAGTTATCAGAGAGGAGGAGGAAGAGGAGGAGGGGAAGAAGAAGAAAAAGGAAGAAGGAAGGAGGAGGAGGAAAAAGAAGAAAAAGAAAAAGAAGAAGAAGGAGGAGGAGGAGGAGGAGGAGGAGGAGGAGAAGAAGAAGAAGAAGAAGAAGAAGAGAAGAAGACGAAGAAGAAGAAGAAGAAGAAGAAGAAGAAGAGAAAGAAGAAGAAATAAAGAACTGAATATCTTTTTGAAACAGCTGATACATTTGGTACCTATTTTCCTCTCATTTCATTGGCTGTAAGCCCTGATGGAAAGTACTGGTTCTTCATCCATTTGCATGTACATCTGCTTCACTTATTTGTATGCAGTTGGTTGTTCCTTGCCGCTCGCGCAGATGCACTCCAACTTTAAAGGAAGCTTCTAATTAGTCGAATCCTATGATACGTTTGTTGGAGAGGCAGTGGGTCTATTCTTGTTTTCCCTACAATGAGGCCCTCGAACCGACCGGGAACAACCTTAAACTAATGTTCCCCAGTAAATTTCTATACAACAACATAAGTAAAATTCTATATAGTTTTATATGCAATAACATACTTATACAAATATATTCTCTCACTGACACAAATGTGGTACACAACTGTAAATATATTTATCTAAAAACAGCTGATGTGAATAGTAAAGATCTGACATCAAATGGGTTGACATGAGTTCTGGATGAGAAACATGACATGCAGTTACAAATAAGAGACATACCCAACTCAGGGCACGTGAAGAAAAAACATGTCATGGATAAACTACTTGCAGATATGATTCTTTCTGAACTTGCAAATGAACATAACTTTACCACTCACTGTTTTGCTATTTCAAATAGAAATCTGCTTAACTCTGTCACCGCAGGAAAGCTACAAAATAAATATAACTGGGTTATGAGCCCAAAGGAATTCCTGAACAAAATCTGTTAAATCAACAACTTACACAGGCTACTAAGGAATTAAATAAAAAAAAAAAAAAAGAAACTTATTAAAAATAAATGTTTTCAAAATAAATAAAGATTTATAAAAGCAGTAATCAATAAACAAGAACACAGCAAAGCAATAAATGGAACACATTTCTAAAAAGAAAATGCATCCAGTGACTCATTTCATGATCCTGGTGACCTCTATAGTTTTGGCTAAGCAGAAAATTTGACATCAGCATGGCTCTAAAAATAACCATTTGGTTCCAAAGAAAATCCCTGTAAATAATGTTTTTAGTAACTGTATTCATATTCAGACCTCCTTGATGCTGCGCAGGCATAAACACAAACTATACATCTCGTAAATACATCATTTTAGAACAGCCGGGTAAGTGGTTTCTCAGGGAATTGGACTCTACCCGTCCCACCATGTGTGGCCACCTCTACCATCTTGTGTGGGCCACCTCTACCATGTGTGGGCCACATCTGTGTGGGCACCTCTACCATGTGTGGGCCACACCATGTGTTGGAAGCCTCTACCATGTGTGTGCAACCTCTACCATGTGTGGGCCACCTCTACCATGTGTGGGCCACCTCTACCATGTGTGGGCCACCTCTACCATGTGTGGGCCACCTCTACCATGTGTGGGCCACCTCTACCATGTGTGGGCCACCTGTGTGGGCCACCTCTAGCATGTGTGGGCCTCCTCTACCATGTGTGGGCTGCCTCTACCATGTGTTGGAAGCCTCTACCATGTGTTGGAAGCCTCTACCATGTGTTGGAAGCCTCTACCATGTGTGGGCCACCTCTACCATGTGTGGGCCTCCTCTACCATGTGTTGGAAGCCTCTACCATGTGTTGGAAGCCTCTACCATGTGTTGGAAGCCTCTACCATGTGTGGGCCACCTCTACCATGTGTGGGCCTCCTCTACCATGTGTTGGAAGCCTCTACCATGTGTAGGCCTCCTCTACCATGTGTTGGAAGCCTCTACCATGTGTGGGCCTCCTCTACCATGTGTTGGAAGCCTCTACCATGTGTTGGAAGCCTCTACCATGTGTTGGAAGCCTCTACCATGTGTGGGCCACCTCTACCATGTGTGGGCCTCCTCTACCATGTGTTGGAAGCCTCTACCATGTGTGGGCCTCCTCTACCATGTGTTGGAAGCCTCTACCATGTGTGGGCCTCCTCTACCATGTGTTGGAAGCCTCTACCATGTGTGGGCCTCCTCTACCATGTGTTGGAAGCCTCTACCATGTGTTGGAAACCTCTACCATGTGTGGGCCTCCTCTACCATGTGTGGGCCTCCTCTACCATGTGTTGGCCACCTCTACCATGTGTGGGCCACCTCTACCATGTGTGGGCCACCTCTACCATGTGTGGGCCTCCTCTACCATGTGTAGGAAGCCTCTACCATGTGTTGGAAGCCTCTACCATGTGTGGGCCACCTCTACCATGTGTTGGCCACCTCTACCATGTGTGGGCCACCTCTACCATGTGTGGGCCACCTCTACCATGTGTGGACCACCTCTACCAAGTGTGGGCCGCCTCTACCAAGTGTGGGCCACCTTCAAGATGGTGTTCACTGCTCCTGCTCTTACATTAATCTAACCAAATAAAGATCTGCCTTTCACTGTACTTCTACAGTTTCTGAATGTAAATTCTGTTTATGGCAGACTGTTTGTGTATATTCTGACTAAATGACCAAACCATTTTTCTGCTTCTTTTTCTTTCTTTTATGATTGCCCCTAACAAGTCAGTTGGCATGCCATGTTGTGGTTGCAGCAAATCTGCAGCATCTCTGGTTTTCAGCCCAGCTGATCTGCTTTCAGCAAACACATAATGAGTTGCTGTTTACAACACACTAGTTAAGGGGCATTGGGTTTTCCCCTAAAAAGAGACAGCGGGTTTCCCCCTAAAAAGAGACAGTGGGTTTTCCCCTTAAAAGAGAGAGTGGGTTTTCCTGAAAACGTGCCCAAGAACTGATACAAGAAACTAAACCCTGTCATCTACTTCTCTGAGATTTGAACCCTCTTGTCCCTAATGTCCACAGCACTGATTCTATCTCTCCATGTCCCATACACAAACAGAGAGACTGCTATCTTCTTGTCAAAGCTAACCCAGGAGAAGAAATCTGTAAAACATTTGTTGAGGCACATGTGCAGACCTCTGCTGATGTCAAAGTTCACTCTGTGAACCTGTGACCCTGCTAAATGGGGACAGCACTGTTTTTCTATCCACAACAGACACACTTTGTAGAGTAAAGGAATACTGTCTATAGTAATAATGTCTTATAACAGAAGGCTACAAATATCAACCATTCACAAACTTTCGTTGAATGCGATAATCATTTTATTGGCTAAACATTTTAGGGTATCAACAAACATAGATGCTGTATTCATACCAATATCTGAATTTCATTAAAAAAAAAATAATTCATAAATGAAATGACTGATGAAAATGCTTGTACTGCATCATGTACCCTGCCAGACTGCATCTCTCTTCACGGATCTATCCTAAATATTCTGGATCAATTTTGACGATGATACCCCTAAAAAAAAAGTAAAAACGTCTTAGGCCATCTATCATTATGTATCTTTGTCTGCTCTTCTAATTTCTACTGAGGATCTTTCCAGTCGTCATGAGGTTCTTTCACATCTGTCTTCTCATCTTCTCCTTCTTCTCTAGTTCTCTTTTGCCTTTCAGGGTTAGACATCTTTTTATCACCTGTCCAAAAAAACAATATTTGTCTCTTCCTTATCATTATGTATAATGATGTATTTTCATGCGTTTTTACCAGACAGTTGTCATTTCATCTGTCTGTCCCTGGTATTCACAACATCCATCTCAAAAAAAGCACATTTCTATAGCCTCCAATCTCTTCTTTATGTGTTAGCTTTCTTGCTAAGATCAGCTGTCATTCAACATCTATCACTAAAATCACAGACATACAAGAATAATCTGCATCACATAAACACATACATATTCACAAATACCACATTAAAGGAGAGTAGTCTTCCCTTGAGAAACATCTGCAGTTATCCACCCTTGTCTTTTTTGTTGTTGTAAATAACATCCTTTACCATCCAAAAAAACAAAACAATGCAGACTTGGGTCCTGGTAACATGAGAGGACTCAAAAGGAATGAAATAGGGCAGGAATTATGTTGTTTCAGTCTATGTTGAACTTTGACTTCACCTAGGAAGTCTGCGAAAATACGTGTATATGGTTCTCCTCGAGGCCGTTAAATTTTGCAAAACTGAAATGTGAGAAGATAAATTAGTGAAGGTATGAATAAAGACAGAGAAGGATGTTATCATATCTTACAGCATGTCTCTTACCACACACTTCTCTTACCACACACTTCTCTTACCACACACTTCTCTTACCACACACTTCTCTTACTGCACAGCATTCTTCAAACCCCACATGTCTCTTACCACACACTTCTCTTACTGCACAGCATTCTTCAAACCCCACATGTCTCTTACCACACACTTCTCTTACTGCACAGCATTCTTCAAACCCCACATGTCTCTTACCACACACTTCTCTTACTGCACAGCATTCTTCAAACCCCACATGTCTCTTACCACACACTTCTCTTACTGCACAGCATTCTCCAAACCCCACACGTCTCTTACTACACCATTCTCCTATCCCACAGCATTCTTCAAACCCCACAATTCTTTTCCAAACTACACAAGTCCCCTACACACAACTGTCTCCCACGGGAACACAATGCCCTAATGTACAACACTTTCCTACCACACAACAGCCCCCAAAGACATGACTCTCCTGCAATTTATCACCTATTTACTACACACTCTCTGTCTACCACACTACACCTGTCTACCACACTACACCTGTCTACCACGCTACACCTGTCTACCATGCTACACCTGTCTACCACGCTACACCTGTCTACCACGCTTCACCTGTCTACCACGCTACACCTGTCTACCACATTACACCTGTCTACCACACAACAACTGACTACCACATTTCACCTGTCTACCACGCTTCACCTGTCTACCACGCTTCACCTGTCTACCACGCTACACCTGTCTACCACGCCACACCTGTCTACCACGCCACACCTGTCTACCACACTACACCTGTCTACCACACTACACCTGTCTACCACGCTACACCTGTCTACCACGCTACACCTGTCTTCCACACTACACCTGTCTAAAACGCTACACCTGTCTACAACATTACACCTGTCTACCATATATCACTTATCTACTACATAATATCTATATACCACACTACAACTGTCTATCATATATCACATGCCTATCCCACTACCCCTGTCTATTACACTACTTCTGTCTACTACACTACCCCTGTCTACTACACTACACCTGTCTGTCACACTACACTTGTCTACCACACTACACCATTCTACCTCACTACACTTGTCTACCACACTCACCCGTCTACCACACTCACCCGTCTACCACACTACACCTATCTACAGCACAAAACATGTCTACCACACTACACTTGTCTACCACACTACACTTGTCTACCACATTACACTTGTCTACCACACTACACCCGTCTACCACACTACACCCGTCTACCACACTACACCTGTCTAGCACACTACACCTGTCTACCACACTACACCTGTCTACCACACTACACCTGTCTACCACACTACACCTGTCTACCACACTACACCTGTCTACCACACTACACCTGTCTACCACACTACACCTGTCTACCACACTACACCTGTCTACCACACTACACCTGTCTACCACACTACACCTGTCTACCACACTACACCTGTCTACCACACTACACCTGTCTACCACACTACACCTGTCTACCACACTACACCTGTCTACCACACTACACCTGTCTACCACACTACACCTGTCTACCACACTACACCTGTCTACCACACTACACCTGTCTACCACACTACACCTGTCTACCACACTACACCTGTCTACCACACTACACCTGTCTACCACACTACACCTGTCTACCACACTACACCTGTCTACCACACTACACCTGTCTACCACACTACACCTGTCTACCACACTACACCTGTCTACCACACTACACCTGTCTACCACACTACACCTGTCTACCACACTACACCTGTCTACCACACTACACCTGTCTACCACACTACACCTGTCTACCACACTACACCTATCTACCACACTACACCTCTCTACCACACTACACCTATCTACCACACTACACCTGTCTATCACACTACACCTATCTACCACACTACACCCGTCTACCACACTACACCATCTACAGCACAAAACCTGTCACACAACATCTATCTACCACACCATACCTGTCTACCACACCACACCTGTTTAGCATGCACACCTGTCTACCACACCACACCTGTATAGCATGCCACACCTATCTACCACACTACACCCGTCTACCACACTACACCATCTACAGCACAAAACCTGTCACACAACATCTATCTACCACACCATACCTGTCTACCACACCACACCTGTTTAGCATGCACACCTGTCTACCACACCACACCTGTATAGCATGCCACACCTGTCTAGCACACCACACAGAAGTACCTTACCTCTCAACAGCGTCGTTGTAAGCCCACTGGCCACAAATACAAAAGAGAGGGTTGGGCGTTTCCTTGGGTGTAGGCACAAATTCTTTCACATGTTCCATGGACACCCTGCCTTTCTTACCCTTCCAAGTGGGATCTGTCTCTTGGGACAAAACATGGGTCACTGAAAACCTGGCACAGCGGGACGGAGAAGAAATATTCTTTTAAATATCTGTCAGGCAGAATAACATATGATACACAAACAGGTAAACTTTATTTTCAGAGTCACAAATTTGGCACACATGCCACTTTTACACTTGGCCGTTGGAAGCACTCATCTTTTGCACACCAACTTTATTAAGTCTACAAAGCATCTTATGTTCAAAGCAACATAAATATTATGAATATAAAGTGAAAACATAAAAGCATAAAGGGCAAATGCATACATAAAACACATCTGCACACCCACACACAAAAAAGGAGAGAGGGGGGAACCTTCATTTTTCATTTTAGTTTAAAACAATGTTTCTCTGATAGTTAAAAAAAACCCATAAAATATGTTGTATAATTTCACCAGCAGCCTACCAAAGAAATGATATCAACATACTACTTACTACAAAAATGAATCCTTTTAAATGAAGTATACAAACCACAAAGTTTGGGCATAGTAATAAGGACTGTCCAAGCTGGGTTACTTATCATACACAAAACACCTCTTTTTATGTGAGCTGAACCGGTCAGAATAGAGATGGACAATCTCATGTTGTGTAAACAAAGAGAATAGAGACTAACAATTCTGCATTGTGCAAACAAAAGGATCATGTGGTTAACCTAAGACATTCTGGTGAGATGTGGAAGCGTTACACTTAACTATGTTTTCTCTGTATTCCAGCTGAAAGAATTTATGCATGTAGTCCTGTAAATGTTGGCACAGATTCTGTTGGAATTACTTTTTTTAAGGCAATGTGTGGGTGTTTAAAACAGTGAAATTGGGTCAGGTCAATATTTTTTGGAAAAGTTTGTTTTTACACACCTTAGTATGTCTTCTGTCAGATTAAGTATTTGTTTTTCTTTTCTTTAATGCAATATTAATAATTTACTGAGCTAACCCAAGCTGTGAAATTATTTGTTAATTGAAATATGTTACGAAATTGCCGTTTTTCGCACATTGGCAATGTCATTTCCACAAGGAGATAATTGTATGTATTATATACCATTATAAGCGTAAATACGCCCCCCTGCATTATTCGGCAGGAATTGTAATCATGGTATTTCAACAGCCGGGATGAAATCAACACCCATTGCTGTGATGGAAAAGATGGCGATGACTCAAACACTGACAGAATGAAGAGACTCAAAGATACTAATACAAGCAGAAAAGTTTCTTAGCATGCCTGAACACCCTATGAAAGAAAGATTCCAAAATCTTGCAATGGGGCGACTAAAAAGAAGCAGTTTCATCCACCAGGCCCAACAACTCTGCAGGCAAACCAATGATCTGCCGGCAACAAATAGCCCCTTTAATGCTATTCCAGATCAGACACCTTGGAAAGAGGATTATAAGCTGCCATTACACATCACAGAAGTGAAAGGACAAAAAAGAACAAAAACGGTATGCAGCGTAAAACAGCCACCCTAGCTCTACTTGATGACAAATACCCACATAATCTTTGGGTTTGTGTCTATACGGTTGGGTTAGCAACAAAATGCAAGCAGAAATGGAGGAGCAGGAGTGTATATTGAGCATCCAAATAATACCAGCCAAAATACCTACGGGACAGTACTGTCACAACTAAAATGCAGAAGTTCAAGCCGTCACAATAGCAGCAGAGAAACTGTTAAATATACGTCCTATTTCACAAACTGAAGTATTTCTGACAAATGCAAGAGCGGTGCTTCAGGCACTCCAGTCTGGACAACTATCTGGTATACGAACACCACTCTCCAAACTAGGCAGCCAGTGTAAGGTAACTATGCAAGGGATACTATCCCAGTGTGGAGTTCTTGGAAATGAAAGAGCTGATAAACTAGCTAAGAAAGGTGCAAATGAAGAAGAACCTGACGTACCAGTTTCAACGTAAAAAATCTCAAAATCTACAATTGGAAAATTCTTCGCAAGCAAAGAAAGGTCTACCAGAGCGTCGTTAACATTACAGAAAAGTGGGACTGCAACGCAGCTAACATGCTTGCTCCTAGCGTTGCTAGAATTCTGGCAGTCATTGATTCTGTATCATCGTGTTCTTGTACTCAAACACAAGAGCGTTTGTGAAACAAAGTTTTTGTTTTTGTGCACTAGTCGGAAAGCTACAAAACTGTCTAAAAATATTTGCAAAATTTTAAAAAACTAAGTAGAAAAGAAATGGTAAGTAATACCACAAAAATGTTATGTAATTGTCTAGAAGGGCTATAAGTGTATACATATACAAATAAATTGAGCCTGTACAAATAGTGGTTTTAAACATATCACAAGAAGTCCAATATCGATGAATGTTGTTTATCTCGGTTTCCATAGTAACCATTGAGTGTACAGTTTGACAGTATTTTATTGATTTCAGGTCTTTAATATAAAACCCTTTATTATACCAGAACATAGAAATTAAATAGTATGCAATATAGATTTAAAAGGGAACAATGGTTTGAGCTACAAACAAAATGACAAATTGTAAGGAGGGTTGGATGCTTTGAGTGCTTTGTAGCGACAGGGGAAGACACTCAGGCAGTGTATGCTGATTACCTGGAGAATGTCTTGGTGAGCTCCTCTAGCTGGTCGCGCCAGATGATATCTTTCTGTGTTTTATTGTAGAAGACCAACTTCACTGGGCTGTGGAGGCAGAATAAGCAAATGGAGGTGATAAACGTTGCTAGAAGTCCTTCAACAGGCGGAGCTGACACACCCCGGTCTGTCATTACATGACAGCAGGATTGCATGACAGCAGGATTTCATGACAGCAGGATTACATGACAGCAGGATTTCATGACAGTAGGATCACATGATAGCAGGATCACATGACAGCAGAATCACATGACAGCAGGACCACATGACAGCAGGACCACATGACAGCAGGATCACATGACAGCAGGATTATATGACAGCAGGATTTCACGACAGTAGGATCACATGACAGCAGGATCACATGACAGCAGGATCACATGACAGCAGGATTTCATGACAGCAGGATCACATGACAGCAGGATTTCATGACAGCAGGATCTCATGACAGCAGGATCACATGACATAAGGATCACATGATAGCAGGATCACATGGCAGCAGGATCCCATGACAAGATAATGTGATCACATGACAGCATGTTTACATGATAGCATGATCACATGACAAGATAACATGATTACATAACAACATGTTTACACTACAGCATGATCACAAGACATCAAGATCATATGTCACATGCTAACAAGATACTACTGTAGAAGGCTGGGTCCAGTTGGCAGGCCCAGGTTAGTTATTAAAAAAAGCTTCCTGGATTTAAACCCAAGACCTTCAGGCTACCAGGCAAATGTTTAGGTGGCCTGCTCGTTATTTATTCCTAGCTACCAGGGGATTTTGAACACGCACAATGCATACGCAAATCCTTCACGTTTGTCATCCTTGTCCAATGTGTTTACATTAGGCACTGTTAACACTCTTTACAGTCGGCATTATTAGCCAAACTCTATTATGCTGCCGGGTTCCACAAGGGCGATTTGGCAGCAAACTGCCTTGCATTGGTTTGAACTGTGGTACTGAGACCTGACCGTTTAGAAAGTAACAGCAAACAAATGAAAATGAAATTTCCCTAATAAAATCACAAATAGCCACAAAATACTGGTTAGTTCTGCAATGTTCTGAAAAGGACAGGCAACTTATCTATTTAGAAATCAACATTCACAAAGGGTAGGGGGGAACGGTGGTGTAATAGTTAGATGCTTGGTTGCCGGCTCAAATATTTTGGGTTTAAATCTGCATCAAGTCAGATTTTACAAAAGATAATTAACAAGGTTCCCAGGCCAATCCAGTCCAAACTGGGTCTGGGATGTACAACCACAGGTACAGATAAAAAGTCTAGCATCCTATTGCCGGTCCACCAATGGCGTGAAATGAGACCATTTATCCTTTATAGCAGTGCTCTTTAACTCAAGGCCCACGGCCCGCTGGTGGGCTGCAGGAAAAGTCCCGTGGGCCGCCCAACAAAATTCTGCTTTTTAAGGTAATGAGGTAGGGTAAGTGGTTTTTCTCTTCCAGTCTGTGGGATTTACACATCAAGGACTTCCTAGATAGGTCAATAGTAAAAACCAAACAGAGATATTGAATGAATGTTATTATCTCCATTTTCATCTTTCGTTCATCAGATAGGACTGTACATACATCAGAAACAATGCTCCAGCCAAACACATCAGACTGTCTAACTTCTAAGCAGCAGCAGATGCCGCATTCGTTGAAAACTGTCATTTTACTGACATGAGATTTGACAAATGTACTGCTATTTACATTTTTTGTTGTTTTATGCTTGTTTCCACTGTTTTGCTGGGTCGTGAAACAATTTCCACTGTTTTGGTGGGCTATGAAACAATTTTCACTATTTTGGTGGGCCATGAAATAATTTCCACTATTTTGGTAGGTTACGAAAAAATTTCCAGTTTTGGTGGACCATGAAACAATTTCCACTGTTCTGGTGGACCATGAAACAATTTTCACTATTTTGGTGAGCCACGAGTCTAAAAAAGGTTGAGAAACACTGCCTCATATGCCACATCCTCCATTATCTTTCTCCCCAGAGTAGCTATAGACAAGAAGCACCTCCTGCATGAAGCCCTGGGTAGATCTAATGGTCACATACTTGAAAAGAGGTAGGTCTTGGATGGTGCAAGCAATTAGACATGCATACATGCTTGATAAATTTGGGTGAGGAGAGGAGTGAATCAAAGTGTCCAAGCAAGAATCTGATTTGCGAGTTCTAATCACTACAGGTCCTGAGTGCAGGAACGGGCCAGCTGGTGCTGCAGAATCAGAAGTGCAACACATGATTTGTGACAATTCCTGCCCGGGTGATCTGATTATACAGATGATTCTGTGCTGTAAACGAAGTGCATGGGGGTTCATAGCAAAAGCGAATGGATGTTGGTTGGTGCAGCAAAGCCTGGCATATGATATCACAACGTCTAGTTTGAGAATGGAGGTGGAGGCAGAGACTGCTGCCTTTCGTTGGCTTGATAATCAGCTGTACATGCATATTGTAACTGTAGTTGACTCACAGAGTGTGCGGAGTAAAGTGGAGACTGGTATGATCCATGCACAGTGGCAAGCATTGTTTCAGAAGTTCCAGGTAGTAAGCAACCTTTGCATATTTTCTGCAGGTCATGGTAGTGTGTTAGGTGTTGAGAAGGCAGATAGACTGGCTGGTTCTGCACCACTTGGAGGTGAAATGATGTATGACAAGCTAGACGTTGTGAGGGCCCCTTGAGAGTGAATGACCAGTGAGGAAGCAGATAATTATGGTCTGAGGAGAATGGCACTGTGAGAAGTTACCAGGAGATTTGGCCCCAATGCACAAGGCAAAAGAGAAACTGATATATAATCAGACATTTACTGGTGCCATTGGAACTGGAATACTCTGCTTGTTGTGGAGGATGAGAACAGAGCACTTATGCAAGTGTCTTAAGTGCTGTGATGTCGATTCTTAATTCAATATTTATTCTCTCCAGAATACCATGATGCATAATTTAGCCAAATTACTGATATCTCAGAATTCAAGACAGAATGCTGTTTATGAGACAGTATGCTGTTATGAGACAGAATACTCTTTATGAGACGGAATTCTTTTTATGAGACAGAATGCTGTTTATGAGAGAGTGTTGTGTGCTAAATCAGTCAGCACACTACCAAGTGTCTAGCAGGTACTCTTCAGCTTCCTCTCTTAGAAATAGAACTCGACGACGATGACACCGTCATACATGTTTATTTAACAGGACACATGACACAAATGCAGAGACGTAGTTACTGATCACAGTTGACATTCGCACATCGTCCATTTGTCCTCACTCGCTCTCTATGTCTCAATTAGTAGCGGCCTCTCCTTGACTACTACAGCTCCAAGAACTACGGCGTCCCACACTCTGGACGCGTCGTACAGCTGAACAGGACGACTTCTCCCATTCACTAGACCTTGATAATAATTCAGCATACACCACGGCTGACTGGAGCCGGACTCCCCTTGCCGTACTCCGAAACCAGGTACTACTGGCCTTCCGTCCCCTGGACTTACTTTGCCAGCGGGACCATATCTTCTTAGTACCGCAACCTCGACACTCACTCAGACCTAAATGCCTGATAGTCGTACGGTATTCTAGCCTGTTAGACTCGCGAGAGATATCACGGACCCTGACTTGGGCTCTGACTCTCGATTTCTCTCTCTCTCTCTCTCTTCTCTCTCGACTGTTTCTCGATTCCCTCCCGAGTGGCTACTCAGCCCTCCAATTTATCCCCCTCAAATCCGTGTAGGTGGATGATGTCTACACGAGAGGCACGCTCGTATGGGCGTTCTCGTGAATCATGATCCTGTGGGTGTTCTCGGGACTCACGCTCATGTGAGCGTTCTCGAGGATCACACTTATGTGGGTGGCTGATGTTACCTGAATATCACGCTGTCACTTAATTCACACTTTCTCTATCTCGTTATCCCTGCTATCAGCCCCCCTACACAGAAACCTACGCGTCCACTTTCTCTCGTGCATGCTTGCCTTGTGCATGAATAGACATTTTCACGGGTCTCCTCTTAATACTCGGACCATGTTGACACTCTTCCCCCCGTGAACTTACAGACAGTACTGACCTCCTACTGACCCTTCACGCAATATCACACTTTACCCAAATCAGCGCGCAACAGATAGAATGCTGCTTATGAGACAGAATGCTGTCTATGAGACAGAATGCTGTTTATGAGTCAGAATGCTGTTTATGAGACAGAATGCTGTTTATGAGACAGAATGCTGTTTATGAGACAGAATGCTGTTTATGAGACAGAATGCTGTTTATGAGACAGAATGCTGTTTATGAGACAGAATGCTGTTTATGAGACAGAATGCTGTCTATGAGACAGAATGCTGTCTATGAGACAGAATGCTGTTTATGAGACAGAATGCTGTTTATGAGACAGAATGCTGTTTATGAGACAGAATGCTGTTTATGAGACAGAATGCTGTTTATGAGACAGCTCTCCTCCTTGCTCAGATCAGTGTTTCATGTTTGCTACTTTCAACGAGAAGGAGAAGAAGAAACACTTACAAGTTGGAGTTACTGAGGGTATACAAGGAGTAGACGATGAGCTGGATCATGGAGGTAAACCCGGTGCCAGCAGCAAACATCACTAGGTGGCTGGTCTTCTCCAAGCGACCCAGATCAAAGTTGCCGTCAAAGTTGCTCAACTGGACCTTCTCTCCTGCAAGACAGAAAGTGACAACGTTACGTCCAGCCTGATTAAATCAATCCAGAGACCTGGCAAAGCAAACGCAAACCATTATACCAACCTTAGTATCTTTATTATTTTTATTTTTCAGTCACGGAAACAAAAAAAAATGGACATAGCTCAAGAAATTAAGATGCAAAACCAGAAACTCAAGAGAACACAGAAATTTAAGATGCAAAAAACCACCAGCTTAAGATATGAGAACACAGATACTTAAGATACAATACCACAAACTCAAGATGCAACACCACAAACTTAAGATGCAAGAACACAGACATTTAAGATACAAAACCAGAACCTTAAGATGCAAGAACACAGACATTAGTCACAAAATCACAAACTCAAGATACAAAAACACAGACATTTAAGATACAAAACCCCAAACTCAAAATGTAAGAACAGACATATAAGATACAAAACCACAAAATCAAGATACAAGAACACAGACATTTAAGATACAATACAACAAACTCAAGATACAAAAACAAAGACATTAAGATACAAAACCACAAACTCAAGATATAAGAACAGACATTTCAGATACAAAACCACAAACTCAAGATACAAGAACAAAGACATTTTAGATACAAAACAACAACCTCAAGATATGAGAACACAGACATTTAAGATACAAAACAACAAACTCAAGATATAAGAACACAGACATTTAAGATACAAAACAGAAAACTCAAGATATAAGAACACAGACATTTAAGATACAAAAACCACAAGCTTAAGATACAAGAACATAGACATTTATGATACAAGAGAGCTATATAACTCTCTTACTCTGGGAGCACTCCCCTCCCCCCACCCCAAAAAAAAACAACAACCTGGAATTCCAGATCTTAAAAAAATCCCTAAAAAAGCAAAAACAAACATTCTCACAAATAAACTGATAAACAATTTACTTATCTACATTTCCCCCAAAATATATAAAGACATTTGAATGGAGTAATCAATAAACATGAATAATATGTAGCTTTAAATGAAATACATTCCCTAGGATTTAAAGAAAAACATGCATCAGGAGACCTATGCCATGACCCCATTACCTCTATCAATGAGGCTAACAGGAAAATTTTACTTCTTCTAAACAGGTCAATACAGACAAGTCAGAAAAGTGACATTCATGGAGAAAATGTCAGTTTCGTCACCTCTTTTGACAAAAGGGTAGACACTATACCACAGGCAATCAAGATGCAAGAACAAAAACTTAAGACCCAAGAACACAGACATTTAAGACACACGATCCAGATATTTAAGACACAGGAATACAACATTTAAACCTACCTGACTTAAGGCTAGTAATCCAAGGAGAAATAACTCCACCTTTGTACACCTTGATCATCAGGTAGATGGTTTTCCCACGGGCAATGCTCATGTCTAGATGTGGTCTTGTTAAAGATGGTGACACAGCAGTATAAGAACGAGCTATTTCCATACCTGTATGAAGAGGAAGATATGAAAATCACAGAACAGAGCATAAATTAGCTTGTCAGAAACACGCAGACCAGATGTGTGAGACTTAGAATGGGACACAACTCAGAGCACACCAACATCGTATGAGTCTCAGTTGCTCCGTGCTTGTGCAGTAGCAAAGCAAACCCCAGCACATGTCTTACATGATTGTCTAGTCTTTGCCAGTCAGAGAGAGATCTGGCCCACAGAGCAACCCAACGAGACAAACTAGGGTCACCTGTAAAGAGCTCAAGCACAAAGTTCTGTTTGTGATTCACAGTGGAATAGTAAACATACCAAACATTGATCAGTGAAGAAGATGTCAAACATACGCCTGTGAAACGGGATGCCTGAGAAAAGTCACCAACTTAACCATCCGAGACAAAACTTAGAAATGATATTATCAGACAGAATATAGGAACAACAACATGCAGCAAATTCATTAAAATAACAGAAGATCAGATGGTTTGGTCACCTCATTACAATGCAGCCCCAACAACTACCAACGCAGGCGCTACACATGGAAAAATCTTATGTGAAAACAAGAGGACCCCAAGGAGAAGATGGACTGATGACATCAAAGACCTTCTACATCCTTGCTGAATGACCACAGACATTGCTTCTGTTCAACAAATGGATTGCAAACTGTTCCTCCCCAAGTAGTTTAGGGGCAAAAGTAAACACTGATGATGACGAAATAACAGAAATAAATGTTTAAAGCATAAAAGAAAACTCTGTCAAAACAATACAAATGTGTTCAAAGTGTAGAACCAAATAATTACAATGTTGTCAAGTTTTAATAAAATAGAACAAAACTCCACTTTGATTCTTGGCCATTTGCTGGAAAAGAATTACATTTATGAAGTGCAACAAAAGTCTGCCAAGAAACCCAGGATCATCACAGCATGAACACCTGTACTATTTCATCAGGGAGATACCCCTGGCGCGGTGGTGGAGATACCCCTGGCGCGGTGGCGGAGATACCCCTGGCGCGGTGGCAGAGGTATGCCTGGTGCTGTGGCAGAGATACCCCTGGCGCGGTGGCAGAGATACCCCTGGCGCGGTGGCAGAGATACCCCTGGCGCGGTGGCGGAGATACCCCTGGTGCGGTGGCAGAGATACCCCTGGCGGGGTGGCCCCTTGTGCAGTGGCAGAGATACCCTTGGCGCGGTGGCAGAGATACCCCTAGCGGTGGCGGAGATACCCCTGGCGCGGTGGCAGAGTGTAGGTACCCTGGTGTGCCGGTGGCAGAGATACCCCTGGCGCGGTGGCGGAGATACCCCTGGCGCGGTGGCGGAGATACCCCTGGTGCGGTGGCGGAGGTACCCCTGGCGCGGTGGCGGAGGTACCCCTGGTGCGGTGGCAGAGATACCCCTGGTGCGGTGGCAGAGATACTTCTGGTGCGGTGGCAGAGATACCTCTGGCGCAGTGGCAGAGATACACCTGGCGCAGTGGAAGAGATACCCCTGGCGCGGTGGCGGAGATACCCCTGGCGCGGTGGCAGAGATACCCCTGGCGCGGTGGCGGAGATACCCCTGGCGCGGTGGCAGAGGTACGCATGGTGCGGTGGCAGAGATACCCCTGGCGCGGTGACGGAGATACTTCTGGTGCGGTGGCAGAGATACCTCTGGCGCAGTGGCAGAGATACACCTGGCGCAGTGGAAGAGATACCCCTGGCGCGGTGGCGGAGATACCCCTGGCACGATGGCAGAGATACCCCTGGTGCAGTAGTGGAGATACCCCTGGCGCGGTGGCCGAGAAGCCCCTCACGGGGTGGTGGAGATGCCCCTGGTGCAGTGGCAGAGATACCCTTGGCGCGGTGGCGGAGTTGGCCCCGGTGTGGTGGCCGAGATACCCCTGGTGCAGTAGCAGAGATAACCTTGGTGCGGTGGCGGAGTTAGCCCTGGCGCGGTGGCAGAGATAACCATGCTGCAGAGTTTTTATTTTAAGATTTAAAGCAATTAATTTCAAAATACTTTTACCAAGGCTGCTAGCAAAATTTACTCTAGAAATAAGTTTGAAAAACAGCAGAGTAGATCAGAATATAGAGAGCTTCCGCCTACTTGTATCCACCTTCTACCTGTACATATCAATTACTTGCAGACGCTGACTACCTGCACACACCACCTTCTTGCAGGCATTGTCTGCTTGAAATCACCATCTGCCTGCGCACATCGACTACCTGCACACACCCTCTAACTGTACACATCAACCTGTACACACTATCTACCTGTATACATCATCTACCTGTACACACCCCCTACCTGTACACATCATCTACCTGTACACATCATCACTACATGTTACCTTTTGGGGGTTTCTTTTTAACCCTAACATCCTCGTCGCTGTCATAAGAACTTTCAGTTCTAGTGGTGTCCTGCAGACGTTCTGAAAGGTGACCACCCACATATATATGTCAAGCTGGTGTTCATTATCAACTGTTCAACAAGTATACTCAACTGACAAATGAACTACGGAAGTCAGTGGCGGACAGTCAACAGATCAGTGACAGATGATGTAACATCTGCAGAGATGTGTCCCTGCCATGTCTTAGTTGAGGTTACAACTTCACTGCCATCAGGTCACCCCATACTTGCTCCGTTCCGTCGCTAGTGAAAATCAAATCAAATGTCCCTTACTGTCCTATTTAAAAAAACTGGTAAACAAACAATTAGTCCAGGCACAATCCAGAAATACGTGAATGCATATCCAGTCTAAACTTTATTCCACTGGCAACATGAGAATCCTCCATCAGTCAACATGAGAATTATTTCTTGGTCAACAAAAGAATCCTCCATCAGTCAACATGAGAATTATTTCTTGGTCAACAAAAGAATCCTCCATCAGTCAACATGAGAATTATTTCTTGGTCAACAAAAGAATCCTCCATCAGTCAACATGAGAATTATTTCTTGGTCAACAAAAGAATTCTCCATCAGTCAACATGAGAATTATTTCTTGGTCAACAAAAGAATTCTCCATCAGAAGATAAGAATTCCTCAGCCAACATGAGTCGACAGAGCACATGAGAATTATTTCTTGGTCAACCCTTAGTTAACATGAGAATCTCCATCTGTCAACATGAGAATTATTTCTTGGTCAACAAAAGAATCCTCCATCAGTCAAGATAAGAATTCTCTGTCAGCCAACATGAGAATACTCCCTCAGAGCACATGAGAATCCTCCATCATTTAGAACAAGGCCTTCCCTTAGTCAACATGAGAATCCTTCCTGGGTCAATGTTAGAATCCTCCCTAAGTCAACATGAGAATCCTTCCTGGGTCAATGTTAGAATCCTCCCTAAGTCAACATGAGAATCCTTCCTGGGTCAATGTTAGAATCCTCCCACAAGTCAAGTCACACGAGAATCCTTCCTGGGTCAATGTTAGAATCCTCCCTAAGTCAACATGAAATCAACACCTCCCTAAGTCAACATGAGAATCCTTCCTGGGTCAATGTTAGAATCCTCCCTAAGTCAACATGAGAATCCTTCCTGGGTCAATGTTAGAATCCTCCCTAAGTCAACATGAGAATCCTTCCTGGGTCAATGTTAGAATCCTCCCTAAGTCAACACGAGAATCCTTCCTGGGTCAATGTTAGAATCCTCCCTAAGTCAACACGAGAATCCTTCCTGGGTCAATGTTAGAATCCTCCCTAAGTCAACACGAGAATCCTTCCTGGGTCAATGTTAGAATCCTCCCTAAGTCAACATGAGAATCCTTCCTGGGTCAATGTTAGAATCCTCCCTAAGTCAACATGAGAATCCTTCCTGGGTCAATGTTAGAATCCTCCCTAAGTCAACACGAGAATCTTCCATCAAAAAACTTCAGAATCATTATGCTAAATCAGTGGAACACCCAAGCATCATCTCCAACACTAGACAAACCTATGGTAGTTTATCTGCTTCTGGACTTTGGTCCTGTTCCTCAACTTCAGTTTTGCATGCATATTTATTCTACAGAATTGGCTTATTTGCAATCAGAATCCTTGGTTCAATGTTAGAATCCCCTTAAGTCAACACCAGCACTTCCTGACTTTAGAAAAGAACACCAGATTCCTAATTCAATGTTGAATCCTTTTATGATCATGCTTATGAATGCAGTCAAACTGTTTTCATCTTTCCTCAAGATAGGTCACCCATGGGATGTTTTTTTATCTAGGATGGTGACCAGTATCCATATATTCCGTTGATTGTAGGGGTGGGGTGCCACAGAGACTTCCTGTGAAATCTGGGATCACTCTTTTCTTTCCGTGTTTTGGAGATATCTGGGGAACTTTATGGAGATATCTGGGGCACTTTGGTCCTGTTCCTCAACTTCAGTTTTGCATGCATATTTGTTCTACAGAATTGGCTTATTTTGCAGAGGTTGGTTCCTTGGGCCCAGATCCTCTGACTGGAAGAAATCTGGGTTGACTTTTAATGACATGCTTGGAGATATCTGGTACTGTCTCTCTTTCCCCAGATATCTGGGACCACTTCCGGTTTTATAGATATATACCTTCTAGAGATATCTGGGGCCCTTCCTGTGAAATCTGGGTCACTTCCGGAGATATCTGGGGCACTTCCGGAGATATATCCCTTCTAGAGGTATCTGGGGCACTTCCTGGAAAATCTGGGTCACTTCCGGAGATCTGGGGCACTTCCTGAAATTTCTGGGGCCCTTCTGGAGATATCTGGGGCACTATTACATATGTATGTTGGCGTAAGTGTTTGTGCACACATATATGCGTGAATGATTACATACTATGTTGGTGTGTGTGTGTGTGTGTGTGTATATATATATATATATATTTAAGTGCATTCTTGTGTTATTTACATGTATATATGCATACTAACACATACAGGTGTGTTTGTGTGTATGCTTGCAAAATGTATGTAGACAGGCATTCACATCTCTTTGCATCTGTCTTTAAAAGTCTGTCTGAGTGTGTCTGTATAGAGATAATCATGTGGGTACAAGTGTTTATATATGTGTATGTTGTGT